TGAGATATTTAAAGTAAAGAATTTAGTTAAATAATAAAATATCATAGATATTAATATATAGTAATAGTAGACAGTAAAAATATTAAAAAATTAAAACAGTTTCAAAGTATGCAAGTTTACTGACACATGTATGTATATATATACCATATAAAGAAATGTTTTATACATAAAACTAAGGAAATATTAATAAAATATTATAAAAAATTAAATTGCAAAACTGCACATAACAGCAGCTTTTTGTAGAATTTAAATGAAAATTTTTAAAAATATGATGGGACAAATAAATATAAATGCGAGGCTTAAGTAATAAAAATATAAGTTTTTTGTTATGTTACACAGGATTCTATAAACATTTTCATTAAGGATTTTTCATATTTGTTATGTAAATTTTTTTTCTTGTTGGGTTTCATTTGGGATGTGCGATTAAGTAATAGTTTTTTTTTTTTTAAGAAAACTTTTGACATTTACCCATGACGGTGTTAAACGGCTTGCACTTGAAATGGCTCCAGAATCGATTTATCCGCTCTTTTGGTTGATGATATATTGCACACCCATTTAAAATCTGCAACCAATTTCCCCCAAAAATAATTTTATTAAATGAATTCGCAGTTGATGTTTGTTGCAGTTAAATAGAATATTTTATTTGGTTTCATTTCGCTGATTTAAAATATTTCATAGCACATATTTAGATTCTTAGCAGTTTATATACTGTTAAATATATACGTTTATTATAACTTATATAGTTTAAGTTTACATATTAATATAGTTCAAGTACATTGAAAAGAGGTAAATATTTTCATATATTTATATATATGTGTATATATCTTTAAAAAAGATTATGCACATTAGATATTTTTGTTAAATTTTTATGTTATATTTTAAGATTTTTTCTTTTCAATTAGTTTAGTTATTATAAATAATTATACTAACGTCTAGACAGTTAACATATTTTTGTTTCTTTAGTTAAAATGATTAGTTTTAGCATATGCAATATATATCTCATACATTAAATATATATAAATATGTCATTTAAAGTATAGTAAATGTAAAAGATGATATACAATGTTTGTTCCAAAAGTTGAAATATGCAGTCGTATCGTATTAAACAAAAAAATATACTAATAACATGTAAACATTTATGTAAGACGCTTATACACATCCATCAAATATACATATATGTATATATATATAGGATATCAATCAATAAGTAATTTTTCTATACACTCTTATAAAATTCAACATTGCATTTAAAATATCATGTAAACATCTCATTTGCTAAAAAATACTTGAAAGTAAATCTCTTTAATGAAACTCAATTTGAAATGTATAAACTTTATCACACCCATCTGACAGGAGTTACAGCTAAAAGCGTAGTTAAAAATTTCACATACTTGTAAATACATATATAATAATAATATTCATTTTAATATTTTCGAATTGAAGCACAACTGTACTTGTTTCTTCGATTTTTAAAATAGCATTTAGCACTTCGTTATTGTGATTTTAGGTGGGCTTAACATGTAGAAATATAATCAAGTTCAACTAATACAAATTGTTTATAATAAATATTAATTTTCATTTTTTTTACTTTACTACGATTTTAATTAAACATTTAAACATTTTAACAACAATTACTTGTAAATTTAATATAAATCTATTTACTAATATTCAAAACATTCAATATAATAATTTTACTTTATATATTGTAACATTTACGACTAATTATTTTTTTTTTTTAATTTTCGGAAAGGATTTAGATTGGCTTTTTTTCAATTGGTAACTTTAATTTTTTTTTTATTTAATTTTATTTAATATTAAAATATTTAATTATTATTGTTCTAAATTCGAAGACAATGATAAGCTTTTATTTTTATTCTTTTTAAGAAATTAGTTATTTATAGTACAGTTCGTAAGCAGATTCCGTTTAGATTAAGTTTAACAATTTCATTTTAGCTTAAATTTCTATTGTTGGTGCTTTGTTCTTACGATCGGAGATATTACCCTAGTAATTTACTCCAGAAAATTTTCAAATAATAATTATAAATAAACTAAAATAGATATATAAATGATCTTTATAGGAGTTTAAAATCTTTTTAATCTTTTTCTTGCAAATATATTTTATAGAGAATAATTTATAATAAAAAAACAATTTGAATACTTGATGAGAAATAATGAGTGGTGATAATGACTTAGAAATATTTAACATTTTTATTTAGTAAAATTTACTTTAAAGAATAAATGAAATATAAAATATCAAAGAATTATAATAAGTGTATGAGTGAGTATCACAATATGCTAAATAAAGACTATTATATGATTAATAAATAAATCATTTAACCAATGTCTACATACGACATATAACTACAACGAGCCGAATCTAAATAGACTGTAAAAATAATGGAAAGTTTTCATGTCCGATGTCAAAGGCGGTAATCATCATAGAATAGAAACCAGGTTATTTACCTAAGCAAATAAAAACGTCCTTATATGATTTTTTTATTAAATATTTATATTAGTACTCTAAATTTTCTTAATTATTTGAATGAGAGTAATCATAATAAAATATGTATACATATATTATTTTTTTCATTACAATTGTGGCAACTTCTTTATTTATTTGCCTCCAGCTCTCAGAATTTATTTTAATTTTGCCTTACGGTTTTATTTTCCAATGTTTTTTATGTAAATCGCGCGCTCGCACTCAACGCTGTTATCAGTATATCAGGATATCATAGATCATATGTGGATCATATTTAATCTCACATTTACTTCACATTTAATTTAAAAATTGTAGTGAAATAATTAATAACATGTCAAAAACATATTCGAAATCTCTTCATAGATTTCGAATATGTTTTTGATACCATAAATTGAGAGGCAATATCGGACATATTAACACGTATTGGAGTAACTGAAATTCCAGGGGATATATGTAAAATATGTAGATATGAGATATGAGTAAATTTTGCAAAGATTAGGTATATCCGTACATATACAGTGTGTAGGAGACTATCAGTGATGGATATTAAATGAAAAAATCAAGTAATAGAAAATGTTAAATAGTTCAATCACTTTGGGTTACATCAAGACGAAGGACGATAGAGCAAAGGCTGATAGGTTAAATGGAATATTTTATATCTGGCTACAAATCACTTTGTTTAAAACTTTATAATATATTTTACTTTTCGACTCAGGATAATAACTCTAAAAATATAATTTCAACAATAAAAATTACGATTAATTTAAAAAAGGTGACCTCTAGCCGGATATAAAATAATATTATTAAAAAAAATCAGGTTAAGAAACAAATATATCGATATCAGTTTAGAGATCCGATAAAGAATAATCATTGCTAGTTGATGCTATTATAGATTCATTAGGCAAAAAAATGTCGGGCTCCCTCTCGACCGATGAAACTTCCACTATATATATAAATCGGTTATCCAATCTGTGCTTCTGGAAGCTATCACAGAATGATGAAGCAGCAATGGGAGTTCGAGGGAAAAGTTCTTCATAAGATTTTTGGTATACTAAGAGTTGGCGGTGACTACCGTAACCGATTGAATCATTAGCTGTACTATTTCTATCAGTGACATTGCTGGTTTAGTCATGTCGTGAGGATGGATGATAATGCTATAGCGAAAAAGATTTTTAAAGAGTAGAGAAAGACCATACATTCAATAGACTGATCAAGTTAAAAAAGCTCTAATCACGTTTAATATATGAAACTGGAGCCGTCTCATACGTGTTTCAGGTGCATCTAAAGATTTAAGACGGTTTGTGATGGCCACATAAGTAGACAGCATTTAATGTAAGGAATTTTAAAAAAATGTTTTTTAGATTTGTTTTAATTATATATCTTATTGCAAATTATAAATTAAGCCTACATTTTTAATATATTAAAACTTAAAATGTTATTTTTATATTTAATTAATTGCAAGTAATATACATTTGCAAGAAAAAGTTTAAAAATTTTTAAATAATATACTACTCGAAGAGTTTTATTTTATTCTTATAGAATAGCGATTGTTTTTATTTGATAATTTTGATTTTCTTAAAATTTAAGTCTGTGTGAATAGTAAATTTGTAGAAATTTAACAATTTACCTTTTTATAAACAAATATTTCATTTCATTAGCATACATGAATAAAAATACTTCAAAATATCTAAAACTACCAACATCGATAATATATAATTACTTGTGATTATTACAAAATAGCCATAAAAATAAACACACATTTATCATCATTTAAATATACGAGTATATAGATATAAAATACGTTAAAAAGTCAAGTATTGAAACTTCCAAAGAAAATTATACACTTAAAGATATTTAAATCCAAAAATATAATCAATAAAAATATTGAAACTCAAACTAAATAGTTGATAGATAAATTTTTAGTTAAATTTAAATTAAAATCGCAAAGTTTTAATATCGACAGTCACAGTTTCTCTCCCAAAATATAAAATGAAAGATTTTCTAATACAAAAACTGGAAAATATTAAATATTTTTTAGAATTTGTTAGTTTGTTAAAATTAAGTTCATATAAGTAAAAATTTTGTTAGTATAAAATTTTAGTTAGTATTAATTTTTAATTTATCTACGCACAATTATATAAATAAACAAAAAAAAAATTCAGAAAACATAAAAACAACGAAACTTTAAACAATAAAAGTGTATCTCAGATTTCACTACTTGAAATAATACATTTCTCTAGAACTACGAAAAGAAGCTTCAACTGAAAAGGTAGACAAACCAAACTAAAGTCAATATTTTTCTGTTTAAAAAATTAAAAATAATATTAGCTTAAAGTGTTTTAGAAATTTCTTCTCTTCAATGTGCTATATTTTCACAAAGACTCTTGCTTCTCTTAAAATTCCATCAAAAACTTTTCATTAAAATTTTTAATTTTTTGTCAGCTATAGCCTTAGCCACATGTTTTCTTTTTCTTAAAAATTCTTTTAAAATTTGAGATATTAATTTTAAATTATTTTATACCGGAGTTTTGGGTAGTTTCCGTCTAGTCGGAGATGCCGGTGATTTGTCTGTTGTGGTTTCGGGGTCTGTTGATTATTTGATTGTAGTAGTTGTTGTGATTTGGTAAGACATGTTTTTTTTGTTTGATTAAACAAAGAAAAATTTAAATGAAAACCAAATTAATTTTGTTTAAAACAGACAAAAAATAGTTGCTAATAAAACATAAAACTTGTAAAATTGATTTCATTTATTATAATTATCTTTAATATTTACATATTTTAGTGAATTGATAATGTGCGCATTGTTTACAACATATAGCATAAAATTGGAATAAAAATATTCTGACTTACCAGCAATGAGACCCAATCCTACAGGACCATCGCCCGAACGACGAGGGCCACTTTGTCCGCCACTATTACCAGGCGGCAAATTCTCATCGAAAAGATCACACATACGAAAATCTGTTGCATGTTCCACCAAAAGTTCAACTATGTCACCAGTACGATCCATAATAGAACAAACTTCTTCGAAACTGCGATCAATTAATGACATACCATTCCACTCCAGTATCTGAAAAATTAGTAATTAATCATTTATTTAAAATATGTTGGAACTATAATAAGACATTTTTTTTAATAGAAAGTAATCATATGAATTAAAAAATTCATTATACAGTCATAGTTTCTTAAATAAATATATTTAAATTATATTAATCAACTTTTTATAAATTATTTTAATAATCTAAATAATCTCAATCTAACGCATAGACTAAATTTCCTCGAAACGCATCTTAGTATTCTTTACAAGTACGAAATGAGTTCCTTACTGCAATACAATATATCAACACCTTCGAGTAGATTCCAAAAATCATTGTAGTAGAAATGACTAATGGCTTCAACAAAAATAACTTAAAATGATTCTTGATAATTAATGAAGATGATTACCCGAGTGTTCAGCAAATAAATATCTCAATCTATCTTCATATATTTCAAGATTATCCGCGGAGTTATTAAGTGTAAAATCAACGGAACACACTGTGTAACCAATATGATATGTATTCGATATCAAGTCCTTTGAGAAAAGTATTCACTAATAGCATATTTTAAATAATTTGTGAAAATAATAAATTACCCTAAATCATTGAATGGTATTATTAAAAAAGTTATTTAAATAATTAATATAAATATTTAGCTTTGAAATTTAAACTAAAATATAATATTTAATTAAATTAAAACATTTAAAATTATATTTTTTCGAATTATATTATATTAAAATTAATTAAATAAGTTAGAGGGGTTCGAATAGAAATGAAAATACAACAAAAATGTACTTGACAATACTCAAAACAGCGTTGTATGGTCAGTCAAATATGAATTAATTAGTTAAAATTTTTGATGTTGTCTTTTCATTTTTATTTGAACCCTTCTAACCTTTAAATAGTTTCTTTTCGTCATAAGATGCGTCACTTTCGGCAAAAAAAATTGACATTAAATTAAATAAGATTAATTTATAAATTTAATTATAATTTAAATTATCTTACTAAATTGGCTTATATTCATTCGAAGGAATTTCATACCTTTTTACTATATCTTTTTAGAACTATAGAAAATGGATCCCTTAAATTATTGTTACTAAAAATTAATTAAATAACAATGTTGTACCACACGATGAATTTAATTCAACTCCTTTTAATATCTATTTGTTGATTCAAAATGTTATATACATATATATTTTCTTATTACATATTTCTATTTGTTATTTTGAACATAATTTAAGACCAATTTTCGAAATTCTCATTTAAAATTCGCGCGCTGTATATTTCGATATTTTAAGTTTTCGAGGCATTTCATCATTCGAGGCATTTCATACATTTTTTACTATATCTTTTAAAGTTATAAAAATGATCTTAATTATTTTCCTAAATATTAATAAAATACACCTGATTAATTGTATTTTTTAATATTATTTTTATTATTAATAAAAATTATTTCTTTTACGAATAATTATATTATTGTTAAATACATTGTGACCGAAAAGCTTTCGGAAATTCTCATTTAAAATTCGCGCGCTGTATATTTTCCGATATTTTAAGTTTATGTAGTTTGGCAGCACTGTCCTTAATTACTATGCCAAAAATGAGCGCGATCTGTCAGACAGTTCGTTTACGGCAGCTGTTGAAACCAGTTCACCTCAGTAGGGCGTTGCGAAAAAAACAATGGAAAAAAATATTGAACAAAGAGTTTGCATCAAATTTTGTGTTTCGAACGAAATTTCGTGTGCAGAATCGTTGCGAATGCTACAAAAGGCTTATGGGGAATCAGTTTTATCGAAAACTCAAGTTTATGAGTGGTACAAAGCCTTCCAGGACGGTCGTACGACCGTCGAAGACATTTCGCAACGCACTACTGAGGTGAACTGGTTTCAACAGCTGCCGTAAACGAACTGTCTGACAGATCGAGCTCATTTTTGGCATAGTAATTAAGGACAGTGCTGCCAAACTACATAAACTTAAAATATCGAAAAATATACAGCGCGCGAATTTTAAATGAGAATTCCGAAACTTTTCGTCTTAATGTTTACACTCTAAATATCTTTCAACTTCAGCAATCTCCAATGGTTTTTAAAATAATTTATATGGAATTTTTATGCTATTAAATCTCTTCCATCTGAGCACAGTTTCATATAATAATTTTATAAAATACATGAAAAATTCTAAATAAAAGATTTAATTATATAAAAAAATACCAAAAAAAAATAAAATTTAAATAAAATTTCACTCTAATTTTAAGTGGGAAGTTTATTATGCATAAATATATAAAAATATATTTAATGTTGGAGAAACCTTCTCCTTTTCCACATAATAGAATTCACATGCCATGAGGCAAAAACACGTATAAACACATGGAAAAGCAAGTAGAACTGAAATTGAATAGAAAAAAAATTAAGAAAAAATCTTAAAATTAAATTTGAAGACAACTGCGTAGGATTGAAATTGGGTGGCAACTTTGCGTGCTGATACACGTCAATATAATTGCCATCGGGAAATGAAGAGGGGGGTGTTATACATAAAAAAATGTGTAAAACTAAATTAAAATGAGTGAACTGTAAGTGAACTGAAAATGAAAATCATAATAAAAACGCGACACGAATAATAAAAAAAGTTAAGTAAAATAAAATAAAAATCTAAAGAGTGAAAAAGGAAATATGAAAAAAAGTATAGCAATGAAAAAAATTACAGGAAATGAAATAAGTAAATTACCTTATCGCCTTGCTGTAAGCCATTCTTTTCAGCTGGTCCCCCGGGCACAGTCCAAACAATATAGGCAAAAAGTCTGCCGTCAGCACCGGTTTTGCCACCAACCACACGCATACCAAAGCCGCGTGCTTTTTTTCCAATTATTTTGGGTTTTTAGGATTTTTGTTTAAAATTTGATGAAAAGAAAATTTTGAAAAAAAAATAAAAATGTTATTTAGTTCATTTGGGTTAATTTAAAGTATATAACATAAGTAATAAAAACTTTTATAAAATTAGTGTTCGTTTTTTTTTTTTGAATTCTTATGAAATTATATGAAATGTTATTATATTAGATCAGTAATTTAGGCACAACTGAGAAATTTTGAATAAATAACTAATTTTTTAAATTTGATTGAGATTATTTCTAAGTATTCTAAATTTCATAATAAAATATATCATAAATTGTTAATATCATGTCTGAAATTAAAACACAATCGAGAGATTTTGAATAACAAATTTTCATTTTAAATTTAACTGAAATGTTGAAAACAAAAAAACACTCATACGCCACCGCATATAATTATAACTACAAGGTAGGATTTATTTATAAAAAATAAAAGTTATGGATTAATTTTATGATTCTAATAAAATATAAAGTAAATATTTAAAAATTGATTGTTATCACTATTTACTGATAACTATATAAAATGAAATTATAATAAAAAAAGCATAAAACATTTAATATTACTAAACTTTCATCAGATTCATTCATAGATCTTACGTAGAAAAATTTGTTTTGCGTCGAATCAAATCACCAAAAAAATAGTATAATATCAATTATATGTTTAATTTAAATTTTAGCAGACATCGTAACATATTTGAATTTATATCATTTTTAAAAGTATTTATTTAAATATTCTGACTAGTTTTCGAATATCTGTGGCATACCGCAACTGTCTTAAATGCCAAATAAAATGGTTTGAGCTGTCAGTTATATTACATGAAGCATATGCTTGTAGTTGTTTTAGTGTTTTTAAATTTTAATAGAAATAATGTGTAATTTGTTGTTATTTTATTTATTTTATTGGATTGCACAATAAAACCATTCAACCCTTGTCTTTGTTTCCATAGACTTTTATGGGTATTTAACATGTATTTTATTGACTCGTTGTGTACATTTATTTTATATTTTCCCTTCTTTAGTGAAAGTTTTCCCCCTATCACATTATTTATTAAAGGACTTTGCGAAAATATGGCTTTTTAATTCTGTTTGTTATACTCTTGCCAAGGATATGATTGTGAAAGGAATATGTTATGGTCAATAAAACTTGAACTAGGAAACAATTTATTTATTGCATTAAAATGCTTATTCATTCAATATGTGGAACTTGGTTATAAAGAGATAAATGGTAATTATTAAATTTTTAATGATATGTATTACAGATACAGCTGATTTTATATATATGTATGTTAGATATATATGAAATAGTTATTATTAATTGGGATAGTAAAAGACTAATATGAATGATTTATAAAATAAACAAAATTTTGTAAAATTATCTGAAATATTTTAGAAAATCAAAAGGGTTAAATAAGCTGTATTAAAATTACAGTAATATTACTGTTAAACGATATTAGAAATAAGTAAGAAGAAGCACATTTGCTACTTACTAAAAATAATTTATATTTGACAAATCTTTGTCTTTAGATCGACACTTAAAAACATTAATATTTAAGAACATTAACATTTAAATTTAATTTTTTGGGAATATGTGAATTTTTGTTTAAAAAATATAAGTTCGATTCAAACGACAATAAAGGACAAACGCTGTTTGATAGAAATTTCGTGGGAAGGAAGAAAAAAAAATGGTGTTTGATAGAAATTCCAAGTGAAGAAAGAAGAACGGTGTTGAATAGAAAATTTGATAGGTATTGATATAGGAAAAACATAGTAAGAAAAATTTTGAAAAAATGATTTTGCTCTAAAATATTATAATTAAACACTTTCCAAATAAAAACAGACTTGAATTCATTAAAGTATATCTATCTACAAAAAGAGGTTAAAGAATTAAACTGCAGATAGTGTCGTACGCAGGATTATGCCAAGGAGGTGGGATATACTAGAAAATATTTTTTTTCGATAGTGCTTTTGTATCTCACTAAATGCTTGCTTTTTTTTAATTGCCAAAGTAAGACCAATTTGCTAATCTTCCCCTTTGAATATGGCACTGAAAACAAGTTTATGTATTTTGTTATATTAAAAATGAAAGTAAATATTACAAATTTATTGTTGAAACGTAGTTCAAATTTTAATATATTGTTTAGACCTTGCCTTTACATACGAAATTCAAAATCATTTAATGTCTTCTGCGGGATATTTAAGAATTCTTTTTAAGGTCATTTCTGCTAATTTACAATTAATCAATAGCTTGGCAATATCTTGACGATTTTTTCTCAAGTTATCTTTAAACGTTCGGTTTCAGGATTGCCCGCATAAAAATAACTTTTTTTGTCAACACATAAAAAAGCTATAGTACTGACAGTCGTTTACTTTTTGATAATACACCTCAAATCAAAAATCGAAAAAATTTAATTCTGGGATTGTTTATGAAGACAGTTGTTCATCCAAACACAATATATTCTTCGAATGTGAGCTTTAAAGAAGAATGAAATAGATCATCTAATCTAAGCGCAACTAAAAGAAACTTTATCAATAACAGTGAAAGCAGCAAACTATCGAATAATTAGATATTAAAGTACCTTAGCTTTTGTTATAAGATACCACTTGGAAAGGTTGAATAAAATTTTAGAACATTAAAAAGTTTGACTGCGGAGTATCTCAATAACTAAAAGATAAGTTTTTTTTCTTTAACTCGGATGGAAAAAGAATGAAGAATCGTCTAAACAATTTGAATTTTATAAGACTTATTGTTATTGATCCAAATTAGCCTTTTTAGATTAAATTAGATCAACATAAACTTAGTAGTACCGAATAAGAGAAGTTTTTTAGCTGCATAGTAAAAACGCTGACGTTTTTCTATTGTCTCTTTAGGTATTCTACAGCATGGATTTCAATGATATGAACATCAGACTAAAAAATTGTGAACAAATTTTTCATTTGGTCTTTAAGTTGAATCTAGACTTTTGGGCGCTAGCATCATTTTCCAGCCTTAAACTATTGTTTCACTTGTGAATCTCTTTCGCTTCTTTTTACTTGTTGAATAACATACCTACTACATAATAGAGGCATTATAAAATATGCTTTTGAATAAAGTAATTGAATACAAAACTTAGTTTCAAATTTTAAATTCGCTTTTTGTACTATTATTAATTTTAAAATAAAGATGAAAAGAATTTATTTGTTCTATACTGAAATATTCCTTGAAACAAAAAGTTTCAAAAGAAGTTTTTATTTAAAAAAAAACACTAAAACTAAAGAAAATCAAGAAAATCAGTACAAACATTTTGTTGGTATTATTGTAAAAGTGAATTTTCGGATTAACGCTGCATAATAAAATAGTTTTAAATGTATTTACTTAGAAATGTTTGCTATGTTAGCACATAAACCAATCTTTTATTTTACTTTTTCATTTTAAAAACATGTTCTATTCCTTAATAGTAAAAAGTTATAGAAACTAAGAAACAAAAACTTTTAAAAATTTATTATATTGCTTTTTAACTTTTTTTTTTTAATTTTTGTAGTAAAGTCTCACTTCAACCCAGTCATTCTACCCTCATTACTCCAATAAAGGCAAAAACGTTGACACCCAATTAGGCTCATAAAAACTTTTTTAGTAATTTCTTCTCAAAGTTACAGTTTCCGTTAAGACCCTTAATCAAAACTTCAACAAAAGCGCATACATATTAACTTCAGCAACAAATAATAACAAACAAGAGGAATGTATATTTTTTTAAATAAAAAATAAATTCGAAAAAGGAAAATTTGGACTAGAAGACAAAGGGGAAATAATTAAAAGAATATTTTGACAGATGCTATTCAGACTTCAATGTTTTTCTTATTTTTGTAGAGTATTTTTATTATCTAATGATAAGCAAAATAATGAGGAATCAAAATGAATTGGAGCAATATGTAACGATGTACATTGATGATGTTATATCAGGAAGCAAAAAGTTGATAATTGTTACATTGAATAGTAGTCAGGATTTAAATAGTCAGGATTTCCAATAAAAGTTGCTAGTAAATTTCATATATATACATTTATGTGGATAAATAAAAAACTTCTTCTGATTTGACTTCTTATATCAACCATTAGTTTAATATAATTTATGAATAGTTACTTAAATTCAATATATTCAGTTAATTTATATCCTAACAATGCACCTGCAATTGTGTGTGTAATAAGTATAAGTATCCGAAATGATTAAAAAACAATTATAAAATATTATTACTCAATTAATATTTATATTGTTTTATTTAAAGAAAGTTCCATTGATTACAATGAAACCACGCCAGGATATTTCCTACTCACATTCTTCCTAAGCTGATTAAGGTATGATCGCAATAGTCTTAAAATACCCTTTCTTAAGTAATAATTTTAGCTTCGAGAACAAAAACAAAAAAAAAAACAGAGCCAGGACAATGAGGCAAAAATTAATTTTCAATATAATTTTTTATTTTTCTGAACGGCTTTTACTTTCAACGAGTCTATACTAATCATTATATTGTCAAAAAATATGTAAGTTCTTTGGGAAAGAATGCGATGACCGTATTTCCTTTTCAGGTTAGAAGTTAGAATATTTCTGCGTAAGTTACACCTTCCGTAAAATGTAATCAAAATCTATTATTCACCATTTTGTATTTTTAGAATTATAATTGGTGGCAAGTGTCGTGAAAAATAGGTTGGTCTATAAGGAAATGTTATGTTGGCTATGAGTAACACCTAAAGTTATGCAAGAAGAGTTTTAGCACCTATAGAGAATTATATTTAATCAACCGGGTGTTGGGAAACAAAGAAAATCAGAGACTAAGTTGGGCCCTTTTTCTGATAAAGGAAGTTATATTCAAACACATAATTTCAATTGCTACCAGCGGTTTATTTCAATGAGATATTTATCGGCGCTTCATACTACCGTGATTTGAATCTGTAATAGCAGATAACCGCATGAAACAACTTGGAGTGTACGCAAACAAATGTGTAAAAGCAGTATCACGGAGGTTCGGATTCACAGATTCGGCTGTCGTGACCATTAAGGTTGATATGCAAACTTAGGGTGGTTGCAGTAAATGGAGTGATAACAAAAAATTTAAATGGATGGAATGACTGTTTTTATTAAATTTTATTCTATGTGAAGTTATTTTTTTCAAACCCAGCAGAAATGTTTAATGGGCATCTTTTCTCACCAAGGAAAAAGTTATATCTATATAGCTATATGCCTAGCTACAAGTGGTATGTGTATTAAAGACACCCTCTTCACAGCAGGTAACCACATCAAGTAACTTTAAAGTAATTTTTTAGAAAATAAAGTTCTAAATCGTGTGTTTCACTACCGGAAAAAAATTTTTTGTTGAAGTTTTTGAAGTCATTGGTATATACGGACAAGTCAACAACGATTCGAGAAACATATACCTTAAATATGTAATTGAAAAAATTGTGAAAAATTGGAGCTATGAGATATAATATCTAAGTTATTTTTCTTAATGGCTAATTTATTTAAATCATTTTTTGTCGTTAATACCATAAATTAATCTATCGAATTATAGAATATTTTTCTTATATTTACAAATTTTGCTATACATTTCAATTAAAAATTTTACATTCCTCAAAAAAGCCTACATCTAATTAAATTACTTTAATATATTGTGATGTGCGTAATATTAAAATTTGCCAATCCAATACAAATTCAATTTAGAACATTTTATACGTTTTTAGTTAAACCCAAATCAGTTATTGAAGCACTTTAATTTTTAATTTAACAACATTTAGGCCGAAAAGTATCATAAACGCGTATACTAATTTGCAAAAAAAAAAAATGTTCGCATTTATATGGAATTTTAGCGATATTACATTTTCATTATTTATTTATTCATTTTTGGATCACCTCAATCCCATCCCGTAAACCACTTCTCTTTGTGTTATAATGCAATTTGCTGATGTTTTTATTAAGGCTATTTGAGTTTTTATAACCCAAAAGGGTCGGTTTTTATATTATATATATACATTCAGCAAATGGTAAGGATATCATTGGTTATGTACACCTTTAGTAAAAGGACATATAAGATAAAAAATTAGCTTATGTTTTTCAGCTCTTATTTGGTCAGATATTTCATAATAAATTCGTTTTTACTTTTAGTTTTTTTTCTTTTGGTCATAAAAATATACATAAAAATTTATATAAAATTTTAATAAAATTCATTCGTACTTTTTACCAAGAAATATTGTTGCATAGGGATTTTAAGCTGAAGTGGATAAAAAATCAAGGTAACTAAATCAAATTTATTTTAAGTATAAATCTTTTTATTTATTTTTTCAGGAATATGGTTTGCTATTAATGCATATATTGTGTATAATAGCACATAAAGTATTGTTAAATGGCTATAAATCAATTTGTGTGAAATATTTAATTGTATATTTAAAAGAAAATATTGGTCTGACCTATCTTTTTTTTTTGCCTTTCTTTATTCGCAAAGGTTTATTTTAGTAAATTAAAATATTTTTATAAGACGTATTTACTATATGCAGAAAAAAATATTTAAAAAGCTGTTAGTGTATATATGAAGTGTGATAAGAAAAATAAAGGGAATTTAAAATTTTTTAAAACGTTACAGTAGGTATTTATTCTTTAATGTCCTTTTCATTTTCCATCGTAGTTTCCACTTTGAGAACACTGCTGAAAAGTCTTTAGAGTTATGGTCTTGAATTTTCTCTGGAATTTCGTATTAATCTCAGGCAATAATCTCGTATTAACAAACATTCTTGCTAGAGTTTAATTTTGAGTTCCAGAAATTAAAAAATTGCATGGTGCCATGGAGAATAAGGTGTTTGTAATATTGTCTTTTAAGTGGTTTTTGTTTTAAGCATCTAAAATAGCGGTATGGTGGTGTGGTGCCCTGTTTGGACAATATGGTGTATAGTATTCAACATTACAGTAAGTTAATGTTTTAATTCGATATTAGTCGTACACATGATATTATTATATCTTTAGCAGTCTCTCAAGTGGAAATTCATTCAGTAACAAAAAAATCGTCTATATCTTATTTTGAGATTAAAATCTAATAGTTAAATATTATTTATAAAATATAATGAAATATAATTTCATTGAAATTGAAAGTATTTAAATACTTAAAAAATTTTCTGTTTATAAATATATTATACATAAAAACGAGTTCATATTTTTATATTTATTAAAAAATGTTCCATATATAAATTTTCAATTTTCGTAACGTCACAGACTCTTTCCTACTTATATGGAACACTATACGTCCTTATTGCAAATCCCTATGATTTTGCATAAAACTTACACGTATCCTGCTTGAAAATTCTTCAAAGTAAGTTAAAAATATCTAAGAAGCGTTGGCATCTTTCTTGCATGTACAATTTCTCATTATAAATATATTTATCTTCAATCAATATAACATCAACGTGTGCGCTTGATATATTTATCTACAGCCTAACTTATGAGTACCTGTGTAAATTCACAAGATACACAATGTTTGAAATTGATGGAAATCTATTGGTATTTTTTCACATATTAAAATAATATTTTTCTTATTTTTAAAGTTAACATTATATTAATATGGTATATAATATATAAAAAAGGGGGATATGCTGCTTTATAATAAAAAGTTTTATAATAAATATAATAATAATAAATTTATTGCTTATATAAAACATTTAATATATTATACTTTTAAATAAAAATAAAAGTTAAAAATAATTTTGTAAAATTTGTATATAATTTTGTATTATTTTCTTAAATGCTTTTAAAAATAGTTAAAAATAATTAAAAATAATTTAAGAAGCAAAAAAATTTTGGTCAGATATATGTATTTTTTCTTTGGCGTAAGAGTATGTTTCATTATTTATAAATCCTGATATATAAAACTAGTTTATATTTGATAAGTTTTTACACAATACGAATAATTTATTAAATTATAATGAGCACTAAAGTGCTTTAAAACAGTACTTATGCATATATTTGTTCCAAAACCTATATAATTTAAATTAAAAATTTAAGTTAGATCGTATCTTGTTAATATATATAACCTTGCTTTATTTAAATATCTTCTGGATTTTCATCGTAGTTTGCATGGAATAATACTAAATATTGAAGTAGCGAGATTATATTCACTACTGATCACATATTCATATACAGAAAAATTTAAATGGACTTTAGAGAATATGTGTAAATAAATATTTATTGTAGATACTTTCGTAAAACGGAACTTGGTACACATAATTTTAGAATTATGTTATTATTTGTGACTTTTTATAGATTAAGTTACTTAAGGAACTCAGTATTTGTGTCATCGACAAATGAATGGAAAGAACTGCGTAAAATATTTATCTTATATATATAATTCTTCTGTACGTGTGTTGACAGTGAACTCCTCCTAAACGGCTGAACCGATTTTGATGAAATTTTTTGTGTGTTTCAAGTGGATTCAAGGAAGGTTTAGATTTACAATTTGGCCCACTGGATAATGTCTTTTTAATCAATTTTTTATTTTTTTGGTATCCATATATATTTATATTAAAAATTTAAAATTTATTCATGCTTACTTTGATTTGTTTAAAAACTTTAAAAACTCTAAAATGAATCGTAAAACTGCCGTTGCATAGCTTAAGTGCATTTAAATTCCGCAGCATAATTATAAGTGAGCCAATTTTTAATCTTAAGTTATGTGGTGGTATTCCTGGTAAATCCAGCGAATTCAAAAATTCAACACAAAAAAGAAGAATTATATATATAAAGATATAAATATCGTACAAAAAACAATGCCACGTCTTCGACGGACTCGGAATTCACAATTACTCCAGAACCGTCGGTTAAATAGATCGGCAGAAAACAATGAAGATGTAAGAAACCAGGATACAATCACACGTGCTAATGAAAGTCAAGAGCAACGCAGCGATCGCCAGGAAAATTTATTGCAAAGGGAAACAACGTTCGCCGGGTCAGCTAGTATAAATATAGATTTAAAAATATGTGTGTGAAAACCAAATATAATTAATATGTAGTAAATGATTTCTTCGCAATAAAGCAGTCGAAAGTAAGAGTTTGAAACTTCGGTAAAGTCAAACTGAAGTCTTTTTGTTTTCGTTGTAGCACAGACGTTTGTTTAATTTCCTACAGGTTTTGTTTTGAAATATTTAAACGTAATTGATATTAGATTTGAATATTTTACCATACGTCCAAGAAACTTAAAAACGATATATTTTTATGACTTCAATTATTGTATTTCATTTGACAAATACCTCTCGAAAATATTTCTAATGTTTCTAACTCTGGCAAACTTGAAATTTGAAAAATATAATCAAATATTTATACATTAACTTTTCATTCCTTTTTTGTATTCATACCGGAAACATTAGTAGTTTGTGTACAATAATTTAGCTAATAAAAAAAGTACTTTTTTAAGTTATTTTACTTTTCTTTTAAATTACTCGATATAAAAACTTTCAAAGAAATTCAGAAGTCTAACTTTCAATATTAAATTGTCTGTTAATAGTCTCATTGATTTTTGCTTCACTTCACCAATCCTTAGAGAGCTGAGCTCATCGGTTATGTCAAATTCAAAAACATTTTTTCACTACGTAAATTCTTGGCCTTCTTAGCTAAATTTTATTCTCAGCTCCTTTGACAGTGAAACTACGTAAAATATGCGTGCGACTTATGTTAAGCGCTTCTCGAACGGAACCGAGTGAAATGAAAAAATCAGTTGAAATATTTTTCCTCACAGTAAGTAAAGTGGATTAGGGAAATGTAACTGGCGTTGGCGTAAGCGCTGATTTGGGTATTATCTAATGAACATTTGCGTTAAAGGAAAGGCGGAAACGGCACTAAAACGACAACTTTTGGTTGTGTAAGCAGCAAGAAAATCCTGCAACTGGCATTGCTTTTGCCTTTATTTCGTTATTTAAAGAAGTTAATGAAAAATTACGCCCATAAAGTACTCGTGCTTTCAATATTTTTTCTTTTTACTTCCTTTGCCATCATGCCTAAGCTAAAGCCTTAAAGGATGTGCTC